AAAATGTTTGAAAATTGGTTTTACCAAAACAATTATCAAAAGCTATTGCATATTTTAATTATCTTTTGACAGAAATAAGAAGCAAAATTTGTGCATGCTATTCTTGATAAACATTAAAAATAGCTATAAAAGCACCAATACAGTACAGAGTGTTTGATCTAATGCGAAAAAAAGAGTGAAAAATTTTATAAGCAAGACAAATAAAAAAATTTTTTAGCGAAAGAATATACCAAGTCATCGTATTTGAGGTACTTGTTTGATTTTTGAAAACCTTTCAAAGCGTAAATTAATTCTCTTAATTACAGAAATGAAAATTATTCTTTTAAATTCTTTTAGTGTAAAAATTGGTTAATTAAAGTCAGCTAATTCAATTTTTCTGAATTAATCAGAGAATAAACACATAAATACAACAAAGAAATGTAGTTTTTCTTCTTACATAGTTTCTTCAGATAAACTAAGGAATAAATAATACTTCCTTTCCAAATATTTCATAAGTTGAATTTTGCTGATTCAAGCAAAAAATTTGTCTGAAAAGAAAATCAGAACAAAATGTTAACCAAAAATTTCTTCTATCTAAAAAAAATTGTGCTTAAATGTTCACCTTGAAAAATGTCTTTTGCTTCTTGTTTCTTAGGCAAAAAACTGTTTTTAACAGAGTTCTTACATTTTAGGCAGTTTTTGCTTACCAGAACCACCGAAAAAAAAAAATGCAAGTAGAGAATTTCTAACAGCAAATATATGCTTAACAAATAAATTTTTTGATTCAAAAATTTGTTATATTTAATCAACTTTAAAAACAGTTACAAATAGTCAAAAAAAAAAAATAACTGCTCAATGATTCAGACGAACATAAAAGTAATGTAGAAGCAGCATTCTAAAAAACTGAAGCAAACAGTGTCAAAAAAAAAAATAATAACTCCATTTCTGACTTTTAAAACTGTTGCTATTAGTTTGATTAAAATTAGGCAGTCATTTGAAAGTATAATTGACTGAGTTTTAAAGCAAAATTGAAACAATATGGTTTCAAGTACCGCTGAAGGTAATTGACAGTTTAGGCAAAAAGCAAACTGTGATTTGTGACAAATAGGTCGCCGATTTAGCCAATTATTAGGAGTAAGTCGTTATTCTATTAAAAGGCATCAATAAAACTGAAAACAAAAGCAGAGTTTAATATAGCGATCAACAATTGAAAGGTAAATATACCGTTTTTGAATCTCGAAATTTGTTGCAATAAACTGTGAAATAAACAAAAACAACGAATTTGTAACATACAGCTCTATACGATTCGGATTCGCAATGATCACCGTTCAACAAAGTCACATAGACAATTGCCGTTGAGGTAAAAATGTTAAGAAAAAAAAAGACCTGTTTTTAGTAGCAGCACTGTCTAACAGAACATCTGTATCAGTGGTTAGAACTTATTTAAGGTGACTTATAATACTCAGATTCTTTGACAGTCATTATAACTCGTTTATTTTACGGTTATTATAATAAGCGCTTATCGGTTACCGTTAAGAATATTTGAGACACTGTGCAGTATTAGGATATTCAAGAAAGGTTATAAGTTTAATTAAATTGTATCTTTGAATTTAAAATGTGTAAAAAAAAAAACAAAAGAAGGAAAAAGTTTAGTCTTTAAACTGTAAGATTTGATTTTTGATTATTATCGATTACTGTTAGTTGCAGTGTCTAATTGGCGATACTATTGTATCAGCAATTGTAAACCGTTTTAGATTTCTGAAGCAAAAAGAAAAGTAACTTTGTGATTATTCCAGTTAGAATCTGATCGTTGAATATACTATAAGCAAATGTAAAATTTTACAAAATAAACAGCTTCTTTTGTCTAAAAAAAAAAAAAAGAAAAGAGAAAAATAAAAAGATAAATTTTGAAAAATTTTTGAGGACAGAAGTTTTTATAATAATAATAATAATAATAATAATAATAATAATAATAAAGAAGATTTTTTTTCTTCTTCTATATTTTGTATCATTTTCTTGTCCAAAAAGTATTGCAGCACAATAATGCAACAAGATCTATATCAATGATCATTTATTGTTGATTAAAGTAAAGCGTTTTTTTGTTGCTGTAACCGAAAATAAAATAGTTGGTTAAGATTTGACAAAAAAAATGAAATGAAATGAAGCAGAAGCAGAAGAAGAAGAGGCAAAAAAAAAAAAAAAAGAAAGCTTTATTTGGATTATAAAAGACTGGTCTGTTTTTGGTGGAATCGTTCCACCAAAAACTCCAACAATAACAGCAGTAGCAGCAACAGCAAAGTATCGGCCAGCTCCCGTTTCCATGTCACATCGAGCGATAGTGTCCACCCGATAGTTGGTGAAATGTTAACTGCATCAATTTCCAAAAAAAAATTTTTTTTTTTTTTTTGCATCAGTAAACAAATGTAAACAAAAAACTGGAAACTGTAAGCTGAAAGTCTGAAAAAAAAAAGTTTAATGTTACATAATTGATAAAAAAAAAAAAAATTAGAAAGAGAAAAATTTTTTTTTTTTTTTTCTAGTCACCAACTATCCACCAACAACAAAGTTGTATAATTTAAACGATGGATAATATATCACGTCAACTGTTCCACTCGTTACTTTTAAACTGTAACAAAAAAAAAAAAGAAAAATTTAAAAAGTAATAGAAAACTTAAAAATTAGAAAAAAAAAACAACAAACAAACTTTTTACTCAAAACTGTATATGAATTTTCATCTATTAACCTTCTTGTCAATACAAAAAAAAGAGATTTTTTTTTTTTTATTATTAATACATCAGACGTTTTCTCTTCTTTTTTGCTTAAAAAAATCTGTTACGGGTCTATAAATCTGTCGTAATTTTTTTTTTTCTTCGTTTTCATCAAACAATTCTCAACAAAATAAAGTAAGCAAAAAAAAAAAAAAAAGAGAGAACAAAAGAGATGGGGAAA